TGCATATATACGTCTGTGATGAAGTGTCAAGTTTACGTATATGATGTGTATCGAATGCACCTGAATGTCCCCATTCGATAATGTTCCTGAACATAATTCGATAGTGGAAGGCAGCCCAAAATATATAAAAGAGCTGAAACTACCTTTATTTTTTTACAAACACATACACACATATACAAACAATTCGGAAAGATACATGAACTATTGCTGCTTATGATGAGAAAGGAAGCCTAGATACACAAGTATTACCCAACATACAAGCATAAACACACTCCCATTTTTACCATACATACAGCTCTAAAAGGTCATTAAAATAGTGATAACTATAAATATTCCCGTGATAACACACGACGCAGTCATTGTCGCAGGCCAATACAATACTCATACGTACAACCATCATCGAATAAAACTCCAGTACCATCCCCAAAGACCACATCAGAATCCTTCAAGTGGAAACACGCGAGCCAATGTATACAATGTACGTATATGCATCTCCCAACTTACGCCAAGAATGCCTTGAGATGACTCAGCAGTATTTCCAACGAATCGTTCTTGATGTCGGTGTGTGCCAGGAGGTGCGGCAGTTTTACTGTGGGTAGTCAGTTTACGATGGACATATGCCCATGTGGTGAGATTGTAGCGTGCACACACGTCTGAATGTGCTTAAGACGGTCAACCTTCATATTTACACCATTCTCTGTGGCTGTTACTGTTTGCCGATATATGTGCAAGTGATTCTATCATGATACCAAATGTGGGTAGGCAGAGGTACAGTAATGCGTGCGGTATATGTCAATGGGAGGTTAGGAGAGAGTGCAAGCACACAGGCGCATTGTAGTAGTGTAAACTCCACAGAATCACATGTGTAACCTAATTTCATACATAAGCCAATGTACAACCCAATTTCATATAGAATCAGATGTATAATTCGAATTCATGCCACATCAAATGTGTAACCCAATTTCGTACATAAGCTGATGTACAACTCAATTTCATATAGAATTAGATGTATAACTCAAATTCATGCGAAAGCAAATGTATAACCCGATTTCATACAGAATCTAATGTATAACCAAATTTTAAACAGAATCAAATGTACAGCCAAATTTCATACAGAATCAAATGAATAACCAAATTTTAAACAGAATCAAATGTATAACCCAATTTCATACATAATCAAATATAATAAAATATATATCCCAATTTCATACAGAATCAAATGCGTAACATATTTTCTGTGGTGAGAATTGGCGTACATCAGAGTGAAAGTGATAATAAAATAGCGAGCAATAGGTTTCTTCTGCTTGAAATCAAGGCAAAGGCATGTATGTGTATAGACGCGCATCTAAACATGTGCACTTAGACACATGCAATACTTTACACATACACAAAAACATAGAAATGCGTAGAGTATGATCCAGCTTAGTGTAAATTTACAATGGGATAAGATGGGAGAGACTATATCTCATGAAAGCCACAGACACATCCACAGGCACGCGCACTAACTTATATATGTATATATATATATATTATCACACATACCGAATAAGCGCAGTAGATGCTCAGCCCCATACACATCACACACATCGCCGTTGGTACAGTCCTTCACCGAGTCTTCGTACTGCGGTCTCTCGAAGTCGTAGAGCAGCAGTGTGCCTAAGGAGTGCTCAAAGTACGTCTTAATACCTGCGAGTAACTCCTGCACAACATCATCGCTGTAGAGTAACGTAAGACACGGGAAAATGTATATATACATATATATGAATACTTCATATACATATTTGTATATATTGGACAATCCGGTCCAATCACAGCTAATTCAGGTTCGCCCCGAGATTCGGGTGTATATTTGTTTATCAACCGATAGATACGTGTTTATGTGCTATACTCCGTTATCAACAACAGCAACCGGGGCCTTAGAGTTTAACCATACGCATTCAAAAGTTTAGTTCTACTGTTTCAGTCCTTCAGTTTAGTACTTTGGTATTGCAACATGTGTATACATGAGTCCTATGGGTAGATGCTATCATGTACAAAGAAATCCTGAGAGTATATACAGTGAGTGACAACACTCCAATAGCAGTACCAGGAAACTATTCACACAGTTCATCTGGTACATTGTATGCATATGGTACGTCACTCTAGCAAACGAAGCAAGTCATTGCAATAGAACAACCACAACACAGAACTAGTTGTCAGCCTTTCACAGCTATACTCACATCACCAACTGCATGCGTCACACTAGCAAGCGAAGGAAGTCATTGCAATAGAACAACCACAACATAAAATTAATGGTAAGTTCGTCACAGCCATACTCTATCGCCAGCTTCTTCTTCTTCCCATGTTTGTTGAAGCCCTCGAGTATCTTCGTGATGTTCGGTGTGCGGGGCAGCGGGACCAGCTGACGAAACAACCGATATGAACCGTAACGTAAGTACGAAGGCGATGAAGTAATAGGCCAGCGACGTTATATATATATATATATA